GTCTGGCATACAGCAACACGTGCCGACATGAGGACCCTGGATGTAAAAAGAGGGAAATATTGGGTTTCTGCTTCCTTCCCTTTGTTTGTCTTTAATACCCGTCGTATGTTACATATTTTAATACCCTTGGCTGGAGAGTACGATATTTGCTTCATTTTACAAATAAGGATAGATGCTGGTACATATATGTAGTACGGGCACGTACCGGTAGATCCATCTAACGACTGCACGGACATGTGCTGTGTACATGCACTGTACATGCACTGGTGTGCAAACGTACAGTACAATTACATGTGTACATATGGTTCATGTACATGTACTTATGTACATCTACATGTACCGGTATATGTCAGTACATGTATGTGATGGTGAATGCAGTGGAGTTTGATGGCTAATACATGTACCTTAAATCCCTTGGCTGTCAAATATAGGAAATTAAAGGGAAAATCGATGACAGATGCAAGAAACCACCTCTGAGCCAAACCAAGGTCTACATGTGCATGTACCAGTACCTGATGATGTCATCACTGTTTCCACAAAGGGACCATTTTATCTTGTAGCACAAACCTACGTACATGTATAATATACATTTAAACTTTCGAGAAAATCGTGCTTTGAGTTGGCATCATTTTAAAGACAGAATTGGTTGAGATAAACCTCAAGTTACGGTACACATGTAAGTACATGTACTTTGGGCAAAACTTTACATATTGTATCGGAACATACCATAAAATACTGGAAATTACATTCACATTTAGCATGGTATGGACCATGCTAAATGTGAATGTAATTGAGGATTACATATACATGTATGTATTCACCTAAAATTTGTCTCTACATTGTAGGGGAAAATTTAAAAAGTAAGGAAAAAATCAGCAATGCATGTGATGTTGCTACATGTACCAGTAGTTGGGGCATTGTTATCTTTTCATACAGCGTTGAATACATGTACATGTATGTCTTGTGAAAACACAAAAATTTAGGTGGAGCGAATTTTTGCCTTTATGGCTTAATTAATATAATGAAGCACAAATTTAACCCTTGGGGAAAACAAAAATGCAGTCTAGGTGAATTTTGCCGAATGGAGATCATCGTGACTCCACCGATTTGAGTACAATTTGGTCAACACGATACATTTACCGGTACCAAATTGCTAGCATCAGATATCTGGCAATTTTGCTCCAAAACAGAAATTTGAAAAAGTGGTGATTTGCGGACAAATATTTCCTAAGTTGTGAAAACTTGACAATTCCAATATGTAGAAATTGTGTGTCCTCATGTGCTATGTATGTATACATGTATGGGTGTACAAGTGCTGTTTGTACGTATGTTACCCAAAATGTTAAAAGTACATGTACATGCATGCCATGTCCATGTACATGTTTCTTCATGTTTGTGCCATATGTTGAAGCAATATGATTCATATGACAATTGATTGTCATATTACTGCTTTGCCTTCATATGATTTGCTGGTACTAGTACGTACATGTGTACATGTACATTTACTACTGTACATGTACATGTGTAGTTTACATGTACTGTACGTGTACATGTACATGACATTGTGTTTACTGGTGCACACATACAGTTACTATAAGTCATTTGAGAGTTAAATTCGAATAAAATCTGGTACACTGAGTTCTTGAAATTCACGTGAACATAACAACTTGAATTCTCCATACTAAAACCACTGTTGCTATACCTCGTGATTCGAGGCAAGCTTTTGCTTAGTTACATAAGAGACGCCTTGCAACAATACACTGTTCTCAATGGATAAGAACGGCACAAAGGAATCAGTTCATTCCAGAGATGGTGGTTGCTATGCAAAAGCTTGTCCCGAGTCACGAGGTTATAGCAGCAGTGTCTTTAGTCTGGGGAATTCAAATTGTTACGTTTCTGTGCAATCAGATAACACAGTGTACCAGATTTTATTCAAATTTAACTCGCAAGTGGCTTATTACGGTACCATTGAGCTGTGACCCAATTCAGCAGCTGAAGGACTTGGTTCTCGTGACTTGTTGTGTTACTGCGTCCGTGTTTATGATAAGTGTTTGCACATGCACATACGGTATCTCCATTCAAAAACAGAGTAGAGTTCTAATATGCTTGTGCATGAATGTACATAAAAAAAATGGGTCAATTGCCCATGAAAGTACTTACTGCCCTGAATATTAACTTCGGTCAGAATTGAACAGTTAATATTTACCTAGTGGTTTTGTCTTTGACACCGCTTGTTACAGGAACCGGTACATGTACAGGTAACTTTGTACTGGTATCATGAGCGAAAGGTACTTACATGTACATGGTACATGCACATGTACAGGAGTAGATGAGGTCATGTGTGACTAAACTTCTAAATGGGAAGCCATTGATAAATTACTGATTAATTGGGTCAAGAACATCTAAAATTGTCCAAATCTGTGAGTGGACCAGATGTGGAGCAGAAACTTGTACCATGCTGGGACTTGCATGTATTGTACATGGATGACATGCAGGTTGAATATGCAATCCCAGTACATGTACATGTACATATATGCAGTGGCATGATTGGTCAGTTTCTGAGTGAGGTCGTGTGGTACTGCCAAACCTGGGATGAATTTCAGCAGCTTTTTTGAAAGATAAGATTGAAGCACCTGCCATAAAAAAAAGGCATTCATGTAGGTAACGGTGATGGCAATTTCCTTCCTCTTACTGGTACCATCTTCTTCTTACTGTCTTCCATTTACACGTAATTGACTGTCATAGAAGCAAGGAAGCATTTGCCACAGTCACATTTTTTACTTTTGTAAACTTGTTAAAAATTTTGGGGATACAGTTATTCCTCTCCCCCCTTTCTGGTCAGCTACATTTACCGCTAACAGTAATTAACTAACAAGGCTCTATATTCATGAGCAAAAAAACAGTGCACAAACAAATATAACCGTGCACTTTATTTTTTTCCACAAATACAATCTTTTCAATACATGTGGTCCTGTGGGCCAGGACGGATTTGGATTGTGTACAGCATAGTTCAATTTTTCTTCTAACAAACAGATACATGTACTTGTGACTGGTGCAACTACATGGTACTAGTAAGCTGATAGAGGGCACTGTCCAGAAGCTGAATCAAATCCAATCAAAATGACTGGGTTTGGATGCATCATGTAACACTGGAAACCTCAGAAAGCTCCAAAAACTTAGATAGTGCTGGACATTTAGCACTTGGTTGGAAAAGTTTAATTTTCAGGAGGGGCTTCGGCAAAAGAATAATTTCACTGAAAACAGTTGTTATTTTGATGGTACCTCTGTTTTTAAGATATGGCATCTTGGCAGATGCACATGCTACAAAGTTTCGCAGTGTCCTGCTTGGCATTTTCTTTCACGAAGCTGAACATCCAGGTTTTATTCAGTTGTATCAGTAGCTCAGACGGCAGAGTTGAATGTCCCACATATCCTGTCCTTCGATTCATGCCCTGGCGCATGTAGTAGAATACAATGAGGCAGGCTGTCATTTGTAGGTATCTACTGTCCGCCGTTGCCCGGTTGAAAGGCCGCCCACCGAGGCCTGAGACGAGATGCCCCAAGGGCATCCCGTGCCATTACGCCTGAGGAACAAAAGAAGCGCATTGGTGACACATTATGTGGAGTCCGTCAAAGATTTCACCGCATCTATTAATAGCATGGTGTCATTTTGTCAGAGAAGGAAAAATATACCCTGTCATCCGGGATACGTTTACATGCTCCTATTCAGCTCTGCCCCCTGAAAGTTTCCTTATTGTGACTGTGCACTTGATCGTAAGCAGGAGCGGTGAACATTTTCACCTTCTCCTTTTATAGAAATGGGAGGACTTTGTTTGTCATCTGCGATGAAATCTAGCACTGATCCTTCCTTGGATCTACAGATTTCTTCATTATTTTTGTTCAAGGACTTACTGGTCAGCTCGCAATTCAATGAACTGTGCTGCATTGATGGGATGAAAGATGCCACAGAACTTGTGGTGTTGTCTTGGTTACTGGTTATTCCTTGAATCCTAGAATAAGTAATGCCATGGTCGTGTTTGCTCGTATGGCTGTGCACTGCAAAGGAAAACATACATGTGCGCATCACGAGTGAATCTGCATAAAACTTCATGTACAGTACATGTACATTGTACATGTACATACTACCACAGTATATAGTACAATCTACATGTACATGTGATGCATGCATGTAGATGCATGTACATGTATGGTCTACAAAGAGCTTTTCATAATTTCTGGTTTTGCTGTTGCACATTCACATTACTGTAACATGATACTGATTCAAAAATATTTGAGGTACATGTACATGTACATGCACGTACAATGTAATTATATTTCAGGGCCCTGCACTAGTGTACTGCCGGTACATGTTACATGTATTTGGTTTTGGACTTGTACTGTACACTTCATGTATACCAGTAGCTGCATACATGTACATGTACATGTACACTGTACATCTGTGTCCTAGTAAGTATGGAGATGTTAACGAGAACATTGAAATCTAAAGAAAGACAGAAATCCTTCACAGAGGTTTGTCAGTTCTAAAGATACAGTACGGTACTTCAGTAGTGGATCCAGCATTTATAAAAAGGGGGCAACTGGCATTGATGAAAGGGGGATACCCAAAATGGAGTTGAATCTGAATATGTTAGTGAGGTATATTTTATAATTCTTACATACTTGTAACAAGGTGAAACAAAGAAATACGGGAAAAAAGAAAAGTTTTCTCCTTCAGATTAATTTTAAGAAGGGGGAGTGTGTCAAGATGTACCTCTTCCCTTTCTGGACCTGCAACTGTGATTTCACTACTCGCAATTTTTTAATGAAAGTTTATTGTGCCGTTTTCTGCCACTATAAGTCATATTCATACATAGCATGTACATTTTTGGTCACTGTTTCTGATTGAAACAGGATTGGCTGTTCCGCAAAAAGGGACAGTTTTGGGAACAGAAAAATCAGCAGCTTTTCAATGTGGGTTGTCAAATTTCCTGTCTTCACAGGTGGAGAAACTCATACAAAAGATGCAAGATGAGAAAAACGGCGTGCCAGTCCGGACGGTGAAGAGCTTCATGTCCAAAGTGCCAAGTGTCTTCACGGGTGAGTTTCCTAAATAGTACTTGAATATACCATATACATGTTTTAAGGGTGGATAGTCGATATTAATGCTCCAAGGTAGAAGTTGACAAACTGCATGTACATGTACATGTAGTCAGTACCTCATACATGAACATACCATACTCGGTTGCCATTGGTTTCAGGCATTACTGAAAACACAGATCAACATTTATGTGTACCCCCATCTAGTCTTTAATGTGTGCGTAGCTTGTCCTTCCTTGAGCATACTTCACTTGGGAACAGTCCCATGGTTACCGGTACTTTGCAAAGTACCGTGTTTGTTTAATAAAGACCATTCCCTGAGTTAGCCAGGGAATAGTTTACTACACTTGGATATTTGACTTGCTTGTGGATCCTCGTGCACGCCTGAAAACAAAATGCAAAAATATTAGCAACTTAGAATGTGATGGTGAATGTACCAATGAGAATCTGGCTTTTGGTCATGAATATGAATGAGCATGTGTTATGGGTATAGATTTTAATAAGTCCTTTTTTTTGGAATGACAAGTTGGTTATGTGCTGATAATTAATTTTTGTTAGAAGCCCTTTGCTTTGGAGTTGATGGCCAGGCATCTCTCCAGCTAAATCAAAACACAGCTTCCAAGAGTGATACCGTACTAGTAGGTGGAAACAAATTTAATGTGCTATATTCCTGTGGTATGTGTTGAAGCTATGATCTCCTCAACAAGTTTGGGATGAAATGGAGACTTGTTTTTGTTGATTGCTTTTCTCTGTTTTTGGCATGTACATGTAGGTGCTGATTTAGTTCAGTGGCTGATGAGGATACTGGATATAGATCAAGGTGAGTACATGTACATTATATTGGTGTTCAATATTGTGCCGAAGACTCTTTGAGGACTTGTTAAGTTATTAAAGTAGTATAAAGACAAGGAGCATTCTTCACGTTTTCCGTGTTCTTTCTGTGACTGTCTACTGGTATTTCTGAACCAGCGGTACATGTACATGTAGGCCGGTTTTTGTTCTCTGCAGATCAGACAAGAGGCCAGTGTGCCACCTGTCCAGCCACTGTGATTTAACGTGCCAGTTACATGTACCAAAAATTATGGCAGTGATGTTCTCTAGCCGGCATAATTCATGTCGTATCATTTGATTGAGTTGGAGTTATTGCAAAAGGTGCTTTGTCAATCTTCTGCATACTGCCTCTCCTCGTTAGGTTGACGATGAACATTGTTTTGTATAGTTCTTGCAACACCCCTTCAAATTCTTTACAGACATGGCACAGATGTTCCTCTTGTCACTTTATCCAAAATCACGCGATCAAATCACTTTGGGTGTTTCAGGCAACCCTTATGAGACTCTGCAAATCAGTTTGATCATTTTGCGGAAAAAACACAATTTCTTGAAATTTCATACACTTCTGCGAATGTTCTCAGTACAGGCATCTTCAATATGAGTGCCGCTTCTGCTTGATAGCAACCCTGCATAATAGCCTTGTATCACATGAATGCCCAATCAGTGCACTGCACCAAGAAAACTTCAGACTGCAGTTAAAATGCAGTCGTTTCAGTCACACATACATGTATTCTTGTTTATTGGATTAGATACGCAGTCATGATTTCAGGAGTGTCTAATTTTCACACAATGGGCTATCACCCATACACTGTAGCGCTGTCTGCAGCAGTGCACTGGCTTGTGATAACTCTTAATCGCCGAGAGTTGGCTACTGAACAAGTTTGCACCTTACTCTCTCAGATTTCTTTTACCTCAAAGGGACAATGAATGCTCAAGACGACACACAGAATAAAAAGAAAATTTTGCTTTAACTGCACTTAAGTAGACCAAGTTGTTCAGTGTCTTTGTAGACTAAATGTTAAAAAATCACTCTTCAGTAGGGAAGCTCTTTTGATAGATGCTGAGAGGTACTTTTTCATTGAGTCAGGATTTTCCTTTTTGTTTTTGCCTTTCTTGTTTTTTGTTTCACATAATATAGACTCAAATTGGCTTGGAAGAGTTGTGTAATCAATACCCATCTCATTTACGTTTTGGTACTAGTACCTACATGTATATGCTTGTCTTACACTGGGTAACCTTCAGACCACCAGCATAGTTATTCTAAAATATCATTTTTTAAAAAACTTTTTCCCAAGTTTTCTCCACACTTTCATCAAACTTTGCCAAAGCTGCTCTATGCTGAGTGGTTTATGCGAATTGTTGTGTAATGCTTGTGTATCCATTGGAAGGGTTCTGGAATGACCGTAGTCTTGGCTGCTTCCAAATACGCACATCCTTTCTTTGTCACTTTATCTACATTTAGATACATGTACAAAAGGCAGTCTCTTACGCAGCTACTTGGGCCTCTGTTATCAAACCTTTGGTGAACCTTGACCCTGCCGATCTTGAATGACAATGACAGGTTTGATATATGACACCCGTATCAGTAAATAAATACCTGTCATTATCGACCCTCCCCTCCATACCTCTTATGGTCTCTTTCATGATCTCCCCCTGTTATGGTCTCTTTCGTGATCTCCCAGTGCGTCCCACATATGAAAGAGTCCCAGATAAGAGCTATTGTCTGTGTAGCTATTTCTTGCGCAGTTTGATGTTGTTGCCATTGGTGATGTAATTTACCTGTTTATTGCTCCCACAGTGCTGTGTGTCACGTTTGATAACATACCAGTAAACATACTGGTACCGGTGCATGTACAATACGTAATATGGATAGCATCATTTATCAATCTCCAATTAAAAGTATGTTGTACAATACGTAATATACATGTAGATAGCATCATTTTTCAATCTCCAATTAAAAGTATGTTGTACAATACGTAATATAGATAGCATCACAT